CACAGTGGACACAGGTCAGGCCAGGGCCCACCGTCAGCTCCCATCGGGCACTGCGACAGAGTGATAGCTGTGTCACTGGCCCCGCGTGTGCGCACGGGTCCGGAATTGACCACTCGTCTGCCTGGGGCGCTCCTGTGGGAACCCCGGCCAGCCCCGCAGGCACCCCACGTGTGTCTGCACGGTCACTGCACCAGCGAGTGGTGGGGGGTGGGTGGCAGGCACCAGGAGGGCCGGCGGGTGGCCGTCCACGGGACAGGTGAAAGGGCTGTGCCTCCAACCCCGTGAGCCCCTGGAGATGGCACAGCTGGAACCGGCCTCTGCGGGTGTGTGGCATGGTCCGCGGAGCGCCGTGGGGCCAGCTCCAGCCGCGCTCGTGGTCGTCAAGGTCGGCACGCTAAGGGGGACCGGTGTGGACGGGTCTGCACTGACCTTGCCAGGCCCAGCTCGCGTGCCGAGCATCCGGGTGGGCGTGGTGAGCTCCTCGGTCTCTGGACCCCTGAGACTGGTCCCCAGGCCAGACCCGGATCTGATGGCCAAGGTCGGGCTGCTGGGCGGACCTGTGGGAGGTGCCGGCCGAGCCGCTTGGCAGTTCAAGTGCCTGGTTTTTTAAGAGTCTTGGTTTAAAACGATAATAGAATTATTAATTTAAATCATTAAGTTTATTTTTCAGTTGTTTTTAAAAAAGGAGAGCTTTGTTTTACCCGTTTTGACGTAGGGCCTGTGACGATTGACCACAAGTGAACTATGATCCCTCCTGAATCGTGGTCACTGTCCCAATGTCCTGGGTTTCACAGGAGGAGATTTTCTCCCCAAAAGTTTGCTTTGCAGACATTAGCCAGTATTTCCAACTGATGGATTGATGTCAAAATAATTATTTCCATGATTATAGAAAAAGAAAAAAAAGGCCAAAGCATATGTGACCTGCTCCCCCGTCCCCCATTGCAGTTGCTCAGTGTCCAGAGTCCCTCAGTCTGTGCTCACGATAGCCACGGAGTGTTTTGTTCTGCCGGCCTGTCCCCCGCGCTCGGGGTCAGCACAGCCCCTCTGGGCCGTTAGGGCTCAGAGGGTCTTCTCTGCCGTACCTGCTGGGCGGGCCCCCAAGGCCACACCCATGCTCTGCACGGCGTCTCTGCCTGGGCCACCGCACAGCTCGGGCGCGGCCTCAGCCCTGTCTGTGTGCAGCCCTACGCTGGTCACTGGAAGGTGACTGGGGGCGGGGGGCGGGCATATGTGTCCGTGGAGGGGTGGGGCCTTCTCAAGGGGCCACACCACGCGTGGGGCAGGTCCCGCAGCTGGGCGGGCAGAATGCCAGCCTGGGGAGCGGCCCCTGGGCCGCGCCCCGCGCATCGCACACCTGCCGGACAGGAGTCTGGAGGCCGCGCACGTCCCTCCCGAGGATTGGGCCGAGCTCCCGCGTGGGCTGAGCCGCAGGGGAGGCGGGAGTGGCCGGGCAGGGCATGAAGGGGTCTTTGTGGCGAGTTGTTCTGGGCCAACAGTGGACAATGCACAACGCACGGAGAGGAAGACTGCGCCTCCGCGGCTGACACGGCCCCGTGACAGCGCCCTCCCCCCGCTCCCCCCCGTGACGTGCCTCGGGGCCCTCAGCCCTTCGCAGCAGCCGCCGAGGTCTCCCTGCTCCCGGGTTGGACGCGGACATGGCTTCTAAGGCCCGTTTCTTCACAAGCTTCTCGGGAGGCAGGGTCTGCTCGTGATGTGGAGGGGCCCGGCCTGGCCGCTCTCGCGCCCTTTGTCCCCTGGCCTTTGTGTCCGATTTCATGCTGCCAGGGTCTGCATGTTCCTCTGCGTGAAGTCGTCAGCGGGATGAAAGGCAGGAAGCATGTCACGCTCGGAGGGCGTGAGGGGCGGCGAGCTGCGTCTTCAGGCCCACCCACCGCCCGGCAGCGGCCCGGCCGCAGGGCAAGCCGGGCGCCCCGCAGACGCACCTGCAGCAAGCCGGGGGGCAGCACCCTCGCCACCCCAGAGACAGGGCCGCGGCCCCGTGACGTGATATTCTCCAGGGTGTCCCGGCAGGACTGAGTGTCACGTGTTAGTCTCTTCAGGTCTCAGCTTGAGAAATGGGGAAAGTCTAATCCGTTAGCGATAAGAATGTGCTAGAACGCGCCCCTCTCGGCTGCCTGTGGTGCGTGTGCCTGACGGCCGGCCTCCCGCTCCCCGCACGGCGCAGGCTCAGGAGGGGCAGTGGTCACCGCCCCAGGCCCAGGCACTCCCTGGGCCTTAAACAGTCTGCAGACGCCTGGCCCGATGGCTTTCCGTCACCGGGTCAGGGCGAAACCTCGTCCCCACCTCTTCGTGCAGCCACGACGCGTGATGGCGATGCTGACAAGTGGCTGCTCAGCTCCTGAAGGCACCCCTCGGGGTGCGGTGTCCCCCAGGTCCATGTGCCTGATTTGGGGCAGATGCGCTGCAGCCAGCGGCCAGGGTCGGGACCCCCGTGAGGGACGTGCGTGCGTCCCCAGGAGGGGCAGCAGCGTCTTCCGGGGCCTTTTGATGCCAGTCAGGTGGCTTTGCCCACTTGTCACACTGGGCCAGGGGGCCTGTCCCCTTCAGGCGTGCTCCTCAGAATGCTTGTGGAGGGCAAGCCGTGTGGACCGACCGCGAGTGGCCCGGGCCCAGGACCGTCCCTGGTACGCGAGCTCCCATTACAGGAGGGGGTTCCCGGCCCCACAAATAACAGATGCCTCGGCTGCGTCAGGAGCACAGAGCAGGACGCGTCGGCCTCCGGGGTGACCGGGGCATTAGCAGAGAGGACGTGTGCCAGCCTCGGTAACCCTCCCACAGCCAGAGGTGAGGCTCCGGGGTGGGTGTCACGGACCCCCGCTGGGCCCCTCCGCCTCCCGGACCCCTCCCTGTGCTGAGAACAGCGTCTGGAGCTGCATATGGCCCGGGCTTGGCCTGGCCCCAGTGGCTGCTGCTGAGCCCGAAGGGGGCCCGGAGACTCCTGCCGGCTGGCACGTGGGGACCCCCCCGAATGCGGTGGAGAGGGGAGCGCAGAGTCCACGCGGGGCTGCGCGCACAGCACGCGTCCCCCCGAATGTTTAAATTCTAAGTGCGCTTGCAGCAGACACCACACTTCCTGTGTTTTTCCGGGCGAGGGAAGCCGAGGCGGAGGCGTGCTGACCCTCCCTGCGCTGACCCCCCCTGTCCTGCCTGCGCCCCGCACGCGGCTGCCGCTGCCGCAACTGATCTGAAGTGGCATTTTGGGCCCTTTTCTCTCCTTTCAGCAGAGAGGGCCCCTCCCTTGGGCGGCGGGTGGAGAGGCGGCCTGCTGTCTCCCCGTGAGGGGGCTCGGGGCCACCATGGGCTGGGGCGGGGGGGGGCTGTGGGGCGGCCTTGTCACCTCTTCAGAACCCACTGTGCAGGGAGCAGGCGGGTGGACCGGGGCCAAGGCTGGGGCGGCCCCTGTGTGCCGGGTCTGATGTTTGTCCCCTGCTTGTCCCCTGCGAATGCCCGGAGTGGCCAAATAAAGCAACTTTTTTAAAAGTTTCCAGCAGATGCCTTTGGAGGAAGACCCTTGAATTCACTGAATCGCTTCCCGGGGTGGCCTCAATGGCCGATGGCCTGCCCCATTCAGGGAGTTGCCTAAGCCCCTTAAGCTCATTAGCATCTGGATGGGGCTGACCTCAGGAAGCAGGGGGCAGGGTGGCCCTCGCATCGAACCCCTGCTTGCTCTAATCCTCGCAATTGAAGGCTGCCAGACTGATTTGTGACACATGAGTCCAAAAGCCACTTTGGGGGCTGACCTGCTGAGCTGCGAAGGGGCCGTGCTGCAGTGCGTTTGGGGCCAAGGCCAGCTCCCGCCCCGTGCTGGCCGGTGCACGTCCCTCGTCCCCCACGACCCCCGGGGGTCTGCGTCCCCAGCCTCCGAGGGGCCTGCAGCAGGAGATGCGCCGATCCAGGTTCTGCTCGGAGCCCCCGGCCTGTCCTTCTGCCCACCCCTGAGCCCTTCCCCCCACCGTGCCCCATGGAAGGCGCACCGGGCCCTTCCGGGGAGGGAGGCTTTGCAAACAGTCGGAATTGGTGGTTCTGTTGTTGCTGTCTCTTTCTGAGTGAGCACCGTCTAGCCCCTTTTTTAAAAAGCAGCTTCACTGAGGCGTAGTTTCCATGCGAGCCGCAGTCCCGTGGCGGCCTCCTGGTCAGACCCGGCAGCCCCTCTGTGGTAAAGGGGCTGCGGTGACATCTCATCAGGAGAGCGGCCGTCCCCACCCATCAGCACTGGGAGCTGGAGCGTGTGACGGCCCCTCTGGAGCCTCCATCTCCGCCTGCCCTGTCCCCGCCCATCGCTATGTCATACTCCAAGCCACATCAAGGCTCCTGGGGGAAGGGCTGGTGGCCGAGTGTGGTCTGCACGCCCCCCCACCGCCTACCACTGGGCTAAGAACAGAGGATTTTGTAAACTAGCCTGCTTTTAACTTGATTTTTAGTCAGTCTGTGGTGGCCCGATCTTGTGAACCCCAGCCTGACAGCACCACAGCTGTGCTGCGTGTCCCTCAGGGGGGACAGAGCACCCTCTTCCCTGTCCCCCCACTGCCCAGCAGGTTGCCCCCTCCCTCAGGTGGCTGGTGCCCTGAACCCAGTGTGGCCTCTCTGCTCCTCAGGCTGCCCCAGCCCTTTGTCACCTTCTGTGTACCCTGGGCCACCCTCAGCCTATCCATGGGGCGGGGACACCATGAGACAGGTTGTGACTTCGCTGTCCCTCCCCTCCTGCACTCAGCTGTTCTCAGTAGAAGCTCCTCAACCTCCCTGGGTCAGAGCCCAACCGGAGCCACGGCGGCCCAGGTGGACGGGGCCAGGACCCCTTGTCCAGACACTAGCCCGGGCCGGGCCTGCCTTTGGGTCTCACGGGTCAGCTTGCAGCCCATGAGCCCGGATGTGACCCCCGCCCCCAGGGCTGCCTCTGACGCCCTCAGCGGGGAGTGCAGACGGGTGAGGGGAGGGTGAGGGGACCCTCCCGCAACTGAGTCCCTCCCGCCTTTCCCCAGACGCTCTGCACGAAGGCCACGATGCAGACGGTCCGAGCCGCCGACACCAACGAGGTCGTGAAGCTGATCTTCCGCGAGTCGGACAACGACCGGAGGGTGAGCACGGCACGCGGTGGGGACGCGCGCCAGGGACACGTGGCAGGGGGCGGGGACACGCGGCAGGTGGGCAGGGACATGCGGCAGGGGGCGGGGACACGCGGCAGGCGGGCGGGGACGTGAGGCAGTTGGGTGGGGACGTGCGCGGGACACGGGCCCATGTGTGAGCTGCCGGTGTCCGCTCCGCCCCACGCCCACGGCCCTGTTGCCCGCAGGTCATGCTGCAGCTGGAGAAGAAGCTCTTCGACTACCCCGACCAGGGCGTGTTCCGAGAGGGCAGCACTGCGGTGAGTCCGGCCACGCGCCTGGGGGCCGCCGGGCCCTGCCCTGCGGTCACTGCGGTCACTGCCGGAAGTCGAGCAGCATCTTGCCGCGGGCTCTGCCACGGGGCCTCCCTCACCTGTCACGCCAGGCAGCTCCTGGGCCCAGAGTCTCTGGCCCCTGCCCCTCGGTCCATCCCCAGCCTAGAGCCCGGCCAAGGACTTGTCACCTGCCCACTTTGCCCGCTGGCCGAGGATGAGGCGGGAGCCCTGCCCTCCTCCCCAGGCCCGGCAAACACCCTGAGCCCACCTGCTCCCCAGCACCTGCCTGTGACCCCGCAGCGCTCACACCCAGCAGGGCCTGGGCACCGGGGCAGAGGAAGATGCCCCAGGGCAGTGTCGGGCACAGGACGCGAGAGGCTGTGCCGCAGGGGCGAGGCCCAGAGACCTGCCGGGCCGTCCTGTCCTGTCCTGTCCCTGGGCAGCCGTGCGGCCGTCTGAGCTGGGAGGGGCTGGCAGGGGTGGGCCTGAGGGCCCCCAGCACACAGGTGTCCCCTCACAGCTGGGGGCTGTGAGGCCGCAGGTGAGAAGCAGCAGAGGCACCCTGGGGGACAGGACAGTGGACGTGGCGGGTGGGCTGGGGCAGCCGAGGGGCCAGAACACTCTGGAAAGAGCAAGGAGGCTCCGCCGGCCGAGGGGGAAGCAGGCTTGAGCGGCAGTGTGTCCAAGGGCCCAGGAGGCCCCGTTCTCGGAATGGGGAGCGAGGCCGAGCATGGGCCCAAAGTCGGCGTTTAGACAGAGGGCGCATGACGACCACGGAAAATGACCAGCGCCATCACTGTCGGAAGTAACGGTCCTCGTTTCTGCATTTATTTACTTAGGAAATTGTTTTTCTCTGACTGAGGAAGGTTAGTTTGCACGTTCAGGAGAACGGAATTCGATTCTCAGGTGGGAAAGATGCAGCTGAGGGAGGGAGCAGATTCCCACGCGCCCACTGTGGCGATTCGGAAGTCTCGGGCAGAGGACACCGTGGACGGCCCTGCCGTGCCCCCATGGCAGCGCGTGCAGCGGCAGCCGCTCCAGGACCCCGTAGGCTCACACTGGACCCCAGCACAGGCCCCGCGGCACGTCGAGGGGTCAGCCCGCACATCACTCACACTCCGGACACGGGTTGTCCGGCCTACCCGGGGTCAAGATAAGTGGTCTGAGACCACCCCGCCTTCACGGTGACACATGCGTCACCGCGGCCACTGGAACAAGCCGCCACCCGCAGGACGGGTGTGCCCGCCCGGACGCGGCCCCCAGACCCGTGGCGCCCTCCATCAACCACCGGGCTTGTACCCGCCTGACAGAAATTTAATTCGAGCTGGCTTCTGAAAATAATCATTGTGTTTTAAGAGTAGTAATCACTGGCCGGGACATGATTGAACGTGTCCATGCCTATTGACTTTTTCTATGATTTATAGCTTTGTTTAGTCGATATTCCCATCGAAATTGTATAATTAATTATAAGTGTGGCTGTCAGGCGGCAGGATGGAGTGCCCTGGTGAGGATTTGGAGAGATTAAATTCTCCTTGGCTGTCCCGGCCGGCCTGGGAGTTTCCACGGAGCACAGCCCGTTGGATGGAGATGTTTTCTGTGTGTTTAGCAGCTGCTCCAGCTCAGGGCGCATCGATTTTCTGGGCCCTTTTTCTTTATCAGCGTGGTGTCTGCGGCAGCCGTGGAATGCATGCAGCTGGGACAGCTCCTGACACTTCATCACTGTCCGCACACGCCCCGCGCTGTTTTTCACTTTGTAATCAGGAAGAATGTTTAAGATACATGCGAAATTGGTTATCATGTTTGTGAAAAATCTCAAAGAGATACAAATTATCATTTCAACAGAAATGCAACATAATTCCTAATGAGAAACATCTCACGCCGAGTCGGGCGCCGGGCGGTGCTTCCACCCTGGTCGGTTTGCGGACCATGCGGTGCGGACAGATTCTCACAGGGGGGTCTCGCTGACCGGCCAGAGCCAGACGGCAGGGACAGGTCAGCCCGGGCAGCCAGGCCCCGGTCTGAGGGGCAGCTCCGGGTTCGCGAGCCAGCTCTGCGGCGTGCGGGCTGCTGTCACTGCACAGGTTTGCCTCTGTGTGCGGACGTGCAGTTACCCTCTGCCCCCGCAGCTGGAAGGTCCCGGAGGGCAAAGAGCAGCCTGTGCTGCCCACGGCCTTGGGCAGCGTGTCCAGCACAGCGCCCAGCACATGACACATGGCCGGGGTTTAGTGAGCGCACATGGAATCGGGGTGAGCACACGTGTCAGAGAAGCTCCGTGTCACCTCACGGGCAAATTGGCAAACCCATGGGCACGGGTCCTGCAGGCGCACGCGTCGGGACAGGGCGTGGACGGGCCACAGGCACTGGACGGGGGGTGGGGGGACGCACAGCGGCTGAGACGCCAGAGGTCTGCGCCCCCCTGTCGGCTCCATTACCGTGTTAGCAGCTGGAAGATTCCAGCTCACTCCAAACCAGATATTTGCTGCTATTTCTACTTCGCACCCTTCACGAATGGGGCAGCGGCGAGACGCCCTCAAAGCTGACAGCCGGCGCACCCGGGGCTGGGAACGTGAGCCGCCTCGTGCGCGAGGGCCCCAGAGTTTCCGGCCGAGGGCTGTGCCGGTGGGAGCATGTGTGCACACGCGTGTGCGTGTCAGTGTGCACTTTGGTCAGGAAGTCCCCACCAGCCCTTGGTGGCCCCGCGGTGGCCGGCACCCGCATAAGCGTGCTCTGCGCAGGTTCTGAGCACTTCGCAGGTCTCACTGGAGCCAAATTAAAACCGTGCTCGGTTGGTGGCAGAGGAAATCAGCCACAGACACGTGTACTCATGTGCCCGGGGCACCCGTGCCCACGCGCACACAGGCAGTCTGCTCGCCCTCCAGTCCCCTCACGGTGTCCCCAGAGCTGGTCGCGGGGACCTGGGAGCCCCAGCCATAAGCTGTTGGCGGTGAGACTTGCAGCGCAGAGCGAGGGCAGCTGGGGGGCTCGCGGTCACTCTGGTTCACGGCTCCTTGCCTCAGCCGGAAATGTAAAACCAACCAGACGTGAGCACGCGTGTGTCGTGCGTGTGTGCACACATGGTGTCATGGGCCCTCCCAGGGGCTGTGGGGTGTGGGGGACACAGGGTCCAGCCGCCGCGGGGTGTGGGGGATGCGGGGTCCAGTGGGCCGCCTTGTGCACGCGGAATTGAAGGGCTCGGTCTGGGCGCAGCCCTGAGGGTCCCAGAACTGGTCTCTGCGCTGCACTTCTGCGAACGGCAGCAGCTCAGGACCAGGCTGCTCGGGTGATGGAACAAGCTGGCAGGTCACAGGTTGTGAGCAGCATGCAGTGAGCAGGAGGGCCCCGCAGTGTCCTCCGAGTCACTCCGGGGCGGGCTGCTGGCAGGCCTGTCACCCATGGCGGGGCGTCTCGGCTGTCTGAGTGCCCGGGACAGCGGCAGCTCCGGCCGACACTCCGGGTTCGTTCCTGCGGTTTGTGCCGTGTGCGGGTGAGGTGGCCGTGGCGGTTCTGAGCGTTCGTCCTTCACGGTGTCAGTGAAAGAACTGAGCGTTGCCCCAACGCCTCGCGCCCTGAGCGCTGGCGTGTCCGGAGCTGTCTCCTCGTCTGCTCTGGAGTCTGACAGTCTCCTGGGGACGCCCCCCACCTTCGCCGTCACGCCCGGAAACACGCCTGCAGGGAACGTCCCCGAGCACGGGCTCACGGGCTCACCGTCGCGGTGGCCGGTGCCCGCATGAGCTTGCTCCGCGCAGGTTCTGAGCACTTCGCAGGTCTCACTGGAGCCAAATTAAAACCACACCCTGAAAAAAAAAACGGCAGATTGAAACGTAGAGATCTCGGGCACGTGTGGTGACGGCAGTGGCCATTGCCACGCGAGTCCCTGCAGAGCACACGCTGCGGCGTGGGGTCCTGAGCAGGACGCGTCCCAGGGAAACAGCGGGACACGAAAGTAAGAGACCGAGGCGAGGGCCACGCCGATGGCCCGACGGGGCCGTGCACACCGCCCGCTCGCCCGCCAGGGAC